GCTGCATTCAGTAATTCACTGCACCCCAAGCCCACCGTCCTTCACCCAACCCAACCCAACCCATCCACAGCCCGGCAGTTGAGAAAAAGTCTACAAGTGCTTTGATACGCCTGACCCATAAGGTGAAGCTCATTTTCCCTCCCCTTGGCTATAGGCTGCCTTTCAAGACGTTTAAGCAGACTGGAACAGGGGGAAAGTGACGAGGTTCTAGAAGACAGGGTGGCTTCCGTCTTGCTCTCTCTCTGAACCCCTTGCTCTGGGGAAATCCAGTGCTCATGTCAGGAAGAGGCTCATGCAGCTTGTGGAGAGGCTGGCCCAATGTGGCAAAGGACTGGGGCCTCCAGCCAACAGCCAATGGGAGCGAGCCATCTTGGACGTAGATACCACCAGCCCCAGTCACACCTTCACATGACTGTGGCCTGGCTGATAGACTGACTGCAACTGCATGGAATTCTGAGCCAAGACCATCCAACTACGCTACTCCTGGATCCCAGACACTAGAAATTGTGTGAGATTAAAAAAACAAAACAACAACAACGAAAAGCCGAATGCTTTTTAAGCTGCTAACTTTTGGCATGTTTTTTAAGGCTGCAATAGACAATATGCTAAACAACCCGATTCAATTCTAGATCCCTAACTCTATTTCATGTTCAGATCCATCCCCGAGACAGAAAGACCTTCCAGAGACATCCAACAATCTCCCACCCCTGGGGTCCACACTTTTGTGGGAATCCCCTATTCATCAATCTGGGTAAAAGCTATGAATTACTACAATGTCTCTGCTGCTGCCTCTTGCTGTCTCTTGATATCTCTGGTGTTCTGGCTCTCACGGTCTCCTGGGTCTAGCAGGTTCTCAGCACGGGGACGCCTGAGGCATCCTGGTGTGGTTCAAACAGACTGGGAGTGCAATGCTTAGGGTCATGGCCTTGGGGATGGGAGCTTGTGTGTTAGGCAGGGTTCTCTAGAGAAACGAAACCAGGACACATATATTTTATACAGTGAGGAGGACTATAACAGCTACTTAGTCCACACAGCAGCACAGAGGGCTCAGTTCAACTCACTTCCATTGAACAGTTAATAAACTGGAAGTCCTTCAGCTAATGTGGGCTGCTAGGTCCAAGGTCAAGGAAGCAGACAGCAGAGTCCTCCTTGGGCAAGGCAAGCAGATCCTGCTCTCGGACAGCAAGCAGCAGGGTGGGTCACCAACAGTCAGTAGCTTGGGAGCTTAGCAAAGCAGGCCCAGATGAGATATCAAAGCCAGCAATGCAAGGCGATGGAATCCACCAGCCTCGGGTTCGAGTGATGTACCCGCCAGTGGCGTGGCAAAGCAGGTCTCGAAGGTGCCTCATGCTCCAGCAACATGATCCACGAGTTGGCCTGGCCCACAGGTAGTGCAGCTCACAGGTTGGAGCAGAGAACTAGCTACAGCAACAGCAGCAGCACACACGCTCCAGCATGCTCTGATCACCAGAGAGCGAGAGAGAAGGGGGCGGGCTTTGCAGAGCCATTGATCTCTTTGCCCTCCGATCAAACTGTGACCTGATTAATCCCACATGTTCCTATTGGCCAGGTTGGTACAAGAAGCCTACCTATCACAGCTTGTATCTGACTCCTCATTCCTACCCATGGGACCTCAGGACAGGTGATATCTCCTCTCTGAGCCACAGTTGTCCCATTTTCCCAACGGGGCATCCAATCATTCACCAACTGCGGTTGATCATCTTTTGGTGATAGGCATGGTATCAGGTGAGAGTCCCTGGGTGACACCAAGGGTTAAACGCTTGACCACTAGCCAGGGGTGAGCACTTGGAGCCCACCCAGAAGCCCCTCAGAGGGCTGGGCTGGCAAGCTTCCTCTGGAGCGCCAGTGCTTCCAAAACCCTCTGCAGCCCAGTTCCACGCTCCACACACACGGAGTTGCCACGAAGCTGAATCAATTTGAGGGCAGCCAACTAGCAAAGAAGGTAAGAGCTACCCCCCACCCCGCCAGGTGTCAATGACCTTCTACACCAAAATAGTTAAAAAAATAAAGTATTACACCCTGTGGGAGTCCCCTAATCTGATGTCAATTGAAGGATGAAGAGTGGAGGGGTGGAGTCTAGGCTGTCAATCTGGAGATAGCCAATGAGACGTCTGTGTGGGCATGGCCTTCTCCTGAGAATTCTGGGAAATCTGGGACTTCCTCCTTGGAGGCTGAAGACACCTCTCTCTCTACTACTTCCTGGGAGACATTGCAGAAGACAAGCCACATGGATGCAACCAGACTTCTAAAGCCAGAGAAGCCAGAGAGAGACCCCTGCCAGCACTGAGATACTTACAACGCCACTGGACCCGAAGACTTTCTACCCACTGGCTTGTGATCGTCCTGCATTTGGCTTCATTGCATGTTTCATGAGCCTGAAGAGGACTTTATAGATTGATATCGGACATATGGGCTAATATCAGACTTATGGACTTGATCTGGACTGGGCTGGGATGTTTTCTCAATGTTCAATTGCTCTTGTATATAAACCTCTTTCTTTTTTTTTTATCATTCTATTAGAGGCTCATACAACTCTTATCACAATCCATACATACATCAATTGTGTCAAGCACATTTGTACATGCATTGCCCTCATCATTCTCAAAACATTTGTTCTCCAATAAACCTCTTTCTTATACACATATATGTGTCCATGGATTTGTTTCTCTAGTCCACCCAGACTAACACCGACCCCCCCAGGGGGATGCATCATAGAAATGTGGGTGAAGGAAGACAACAGACCATGTACGATATGAAATAACAACAATAGGGCTCAAGTAGAAAGAAAATGTTTTGGGAATGTTGATGACATAGGTACCGGTGCTTAATACAACGGAATGATGGACTGGTTTTAAGTTTGGCCAGAGCCTCCCAATAAAATGATTAATAAATAAAAAGTAGATCATAAAGCCTTTGCCATCCCACCCTCCTCCGTGTGTACCCATCCTATTGGGGAGACGCAATTCTGTGACCTTAATATCATACATTGTCCAACCAACACTACTATCCACTTCCAACACGTCATCACCACCCCAAACAGAAACACAGTGCCCCTTCAGCAGTCCCTCCCACCACCACCCCTACCCCCACCCACCTGTTAGCTACCAAGACCCGCTTGTCTCTGCATTTGGCATCATCTTTAAAAAAGGTTCACAAACTACCTCCCAGTGCGACCTAGTGACTCACTTCTAATGACTAGAGGGAGGGAGAATAAATGATATGTAACATTTGGGATTAAAGTCTTGGAACATTTTATGGCGAGATCATAAAAGGCCATATGGCTTGGCTTCTTGCTTATAATGTATTAGACTCCTTCTTCTGACCAAGCCAACTCCCACGTCATAATCAACCTCAGGAAGTCCCCTGCCAAGCAAAAAAAACGAGGAACCTAGGTCCCCAGCCAATAGCCGCTTACATCCTTCAACCTCCATCAAACCTCTGGATGAGGCCAGGGCCCAGCCAGCATCGTGGCTGCAACTGCATGGGAGCCCTGCGCCAGAAGCACCCTGCTAAGATACTCCTAGATTCCTGACCTTCACAACTTATGGGAGATGATGCATGTCTAATCTCGTAAGGTGCGGTTTTTTTGGTTTATTTTTAATAATTTTATCGGGCACTCTTACAGATAGAACAGTCCACAGGTCAATCACCACAATCCGTTTCAAAACATTGTCTTTTTCCCCCCTCAAAATACTGTCTTTCTTCTTGAACTACTTGAGATCAGCTCCCCTTATCCACTCCTGACTCCCCAGGAACATTAATTATTCATTCATTCATTTGCCAAATCTCACACCATCCAATAAGTCCATCACACACATTTCTGTTCACTTCTGTCGAGTGGGGGTGGTACTATGTTTCTGAGTAATAGTTCATACCGCAATTTTCGAGAAAACTTGCAACATTCATTTGGTCAATTTGCAAATCTCTGGCCATAATCCCTCTCAAAAATATTGGCCTGGCAGCCCCAAACTGCACCTCATTTCTACCCCTTTCTTGCCAAGAACTCTCCCACCGCTGAAGACCTCTCTGGAAACCCAGGCAATGTGGGGGTGCTGTTAGGTGTTATCAAGTCAGTTTCGATCCATGGGGACCCCATGGGACAGGGCAGAATTGTCCCCTATGGAGTGTCATGTGTGAGGGACCAGCCCCCACAATCGAACGGGTCCAAGGGGCGGATGTATCAATGAGGGGTAAAATTAAAGAGACACCAGACAAGATCAAGCATGTGAGTGCTCACCTCCGGGACCATCATGATTTCAGCTACCAGATTCACGCAGAGAGCAAATATATTTCCAGCCGAAGCTTAGATACATTCAGGGGGTATGAAAGCCCCCTTAATTACAGGTAACCACATACGTAACAAAGTGGGCTGTACCCCCACCCTAAAGGTCCCTGAGGACATTGGAGGAGTAACCTACCACCAGTACCTGGGACAGGTAAAAGGGGAGTGGCCATCCTCAGAGGCTGGAGAGCCATAGCATGTGTCTGCTCCTCTAGTTAAAGCTGCCGGCTACACAGCAGTCAGCCCTGTGCTTGTCAGGGGTCACTTTAAGGTCGCACTACGATGGGAGGCTATCATGGGGAACAATATTAATGATGAGAATGTGATTGGGACTCACCACCAACTCACAAGGGTGAAGGCCTCCCTCCAGCCCAGAAACCCAGCCTGCCAGGCTCCTTAATAGATGAGACTTCAGGATTCACCCGTATGCACTCTCCTTCCTCTGCTTCCCACAGTCACTGGCTGTGGCCTCTGGAGGAGCAGATTGGCAGGCCTCTCTCCCAGAGAGCCATTGGGCAGGTTAGAACCGTCAACCTTTAGGTTAGCAGGCTAAACGCTTAACCATGTCAAGGATTGACCTGTGGGCCTGTGCACCTAGACTGGCACTTGGGGTGGGTTCCATTCACATCGCTTGTTGGGTCTCATTTGGTGCCAGAAAGGACACAGAGTTCATGCCAGCATGGGGGGGGGGGCACATTTATTGTTCAGGGGCTGAGCCCCCACGTTTTGGGGGTGTTCCCCCACTACTTCCTCCCATCGCCCCCGTGGACCCCTCCAGTGGCAGGTTGCTGAGTTGGTCATGGAAGGAGCACATCTTCAGGTGCAGGTAATCCAGAGCGGCCGCCTTCTCCCTGGGAGGACAGGGAGCTGGGAGGTGGTGCCTGCTGGTGGGGGGGGTGGGGTGGGTGTAGGGGTCTGGGGGTTGGGAGTGGAAGGGAGGCAGGTAGCCCCGGACCCTTTCCCAGGGACCTCACCCTCCTCCCATGCCCTCAGCCTCCTTCCTCACTCCGGCTTCATCTTGTCCGTCAGCAGCAAGTTCTTGGCCCGTAGCGCTTCGTCTTGGGCCAGCCGAAGGGTGGAGCTCAGGGCCTCTGCCCTGACATGTTTGGCCAAGGCCTGGCGCTCCAGCTCCTGGGGAGAGGAGCGTGGGCGCAGCTGGGCTTGCCGGACTGGGCTGAGGGTGGAGGGGGAGCTGGATCGCGGAGGGCAGGGGGCAGGGTCCCTCGGGGCCCATGTTCCTCTCCCAAGTATTTCGTCCCCGCCAGGCCTCCTGTCTGAGACAGACCCCTGTGTCCCACAGTGCACTAGCCTTCCCTACCCATCCTGCCTCAAGCCTGAGATGGACCCCTGATCCCACAATGCACTGGCTTTCTCTGCCCCGTGGCACACTGATCGGTGTTGGTCATATTGTCCCTTGATGCACACGTGTAGCAGGGCCCATGAACCACCATGCGATTGGACAGGCATCCAGGCCCAGCCAGCCTGTCACGTGGTGACCTTCTGTATGAGACCCGCATCTCTGTCATGAGAACTGTCTCCCGCTGGTCCTGGGTCTGGTCCTGTGTTTCCCACCATGCACTGGGGCCGCCCCTTCTGTCATGCTGCCTGCCTTCTGGACCAATATTGCACAGGAAGGCTGAAGCACCATCACACAACAGTGTCAATGACTCACCCACTACTCTCTCATATCCCGTCATATGCCTTCATCTCCACCATCCTCAGCTGGGCTTGAGCCAGCGGTGTAAAGTCCCACGAGGGGCTGGCATTCCATTGTCCATACTAGAGTCACTGGGTCCCCTGTCTGACTCCCAGTAGCCCATGGAATGCACTTGCCCCGCTTCAAGTCTGCAGGGAATGGGGCCCATCTTCCATCGATGCTTTCAGCTACGGTCTGTCTCCTGTGTCCCACAAGGCACCCGCTTCTGTTTTCCCAGCATAGATTGGCCTGAAGCCCATCACCCACCGTCAGCTCTATAATGCCTGGCCTGTGATGCCCTGCCCAACTGCGTGTGCCACCGTGCACTAGAGACAAGTGCTTCCACGCAGGGGCTGTCCACAGCAAAGAAAACCTTTCCTCTCCTCCACATCCTCCCAGTTCCCTTGTGCCCCGGGCCTCCCCATCCCCAGCTGCCTGCAGAAGAACAACATAGGGCCCGGTGACCCACGGTCCCTGGTACCAGAATCTTCTTGTGTAGCCTCTGGCAACTGGGGCAGGCAGGGGCCAGGCCCCTCTGCTTCACCTCCTCCATGAGTGGAGTTAGGGCTCGCTCCAGCAGCTGCTGCAGGGACTCTGTGGACAGCTGTTGCCCCTGGCTGGGGAAGGGGTGGGCACAGGTTAGCAGAGGCTCAGAACCAACTCCATTCCCAAGATGCTCCCTTCTCACCTGCCCAGCCTCCACCCCGGCCCCTCGGAGATCCACGCACCCCATGGGTGCAATCTTCCCACAGTGCATCAGCTACTCCCACAATGCCCTGGCTATCAGTCTCATTTCCTAGTGATACCTGACGCCAAGGCGTCCTGGGAATGCTCCCCTTGCTGCACTGAACCAAGCACCCTAACTCACGGCTCCCCCAAGACACCACAGTCCGCCTCCCACCCCCACCTTCCCACCGCACACGAAATACTCGCTGCTCAACAAAGCACCACGTCTGCTCTGAGTTCCACAAACCACCGTGGGGAGGGAGGAATGAGCTCCCACCCTGCAGTGGGACGGGATTCCCAGAATGCCCCGAGAGCCGGGCCCTGCCTTCTTACCTGGCACAGCGGGCACAGGTGCCTTGAGGGGGCCGGTCCAGGCTCAGGGAGAAGTCCAATCCTCGCCGCGAGCTCTGAAGCTGCCTCCCCAGCTCCTCCAGAATTGGCTTCACGGGGCCCAGCCCCTCCAGTTCACTCCTCAGCGATGCCACGGACACGGCGGACCGCTCCACCCTGAGGTGTGGGGGGGCAGAGTCGTCCTAAGACCCCATCCAAGGAGCCCTGGTGGTTTCAGGTTGGGCGCTAATCACAGGCTCAACAGCTGGGACCTACCAGCCTTTCCAGAGGAGAAACATTTGGCTTTCGACACCCGTGAAAGAGTTACAGACTCACCTACCTATAATTCCCTCCCAGGGGGATGGGCACCAGATAGAGGGGGTTCAAGGGAGGCATCGGACAGTGCAAGACATGGGAAAATAATAATAATTGATAAATGATCAAGGGTTCATGAGGGAGGGAGGGAAGGGAAAAAATGAGGAGCTGATACTAAGGGCTCAAGTAGAAAGAAAAATGTTTTGAGAATGATGATGGCAACAAATGTACAAATGTGCTTGACACAATGGATGCTTGTATGGATTGTGATAAGAGTTGCATGAGCCCCCAATTTAAATATATATATATATATATATATGAGTTACAGTCTCAGAAACCCACAGGGGCAATTTCTTAGGATCGCTACGGGTCAGGATCCACTTCGGTGGCAACGAGTTTGGTTTTGTTTTGGAAGATCCTCCTACCCATTATGAGCCCCATCCCTAAGTCCCTATGGGTCTGCTGTGCTCCTCTCTGGCCTCCCCTTTCTGCTTCTGATTGGCCCCGCCCATCCGCGGTCCGCACTGGGCTGTTAACCGCAAGGTCCAAGGACCAGCGGCTCCGCAGGAGCGAGATGAGCTTTTCTCCCCCCAGAAAGAGCTACCGCGTCAGAAACCCACAGGGGCAGTTCTTGTCTGTCCTATAGGGTCACTAGGAGTTGGGATCGACTTGAAGGCAGGGAGCCCTTGCAGCGTCTTGGGTGGCCACGATGGGTTGCTAACCTCAAGGTTAGCCCTTCGGGGGGACCAGTCAGTGAGGCGTCCTGCTCCCTCGCACAGGGCTCAGGCGCAGATGTGACACACTGGCCGCTGATGACAGAAGAGCCGTGAGAGGACAGCAAGGCCATCGTTCACGAAGAGAGCAAACGATCATTTAAAAAAGGAAAGAGGGAAGAAGGAAGAGATCCCAGTGGAGGGCAGAAGACACTGCCGCTTGCTCTTCATCACCCAGTGGCCGGAGCACCTGGAAGACACGAGGGGGGCGAAGAGCCGGAGAGACCAGGTGGAACGGCAGCTTGAGGGACGGAGACACGTGTGCGCACGCAATAGGCAAGGACCCAGAGTTAGAAAACCCAAGAGGCACGCTCAGCAGACCTTAAACGGAAAGAAAGGAAATAAAAGAACCCGAGCCTCCGGTTGCAATCTTGAAAGCATTTATAGGCAACATATCGAACGAGGTGGGAAGCACCCACAGAAGATGGAGAGAATGCAGAGGCACTGGACCAAAAGGGAGCAGCTGACAGCCCACCATGCCAGGAGGCAGCATCTGAGCGAGAGCCAGCGGCGCCGGAGGAAGGAAGAAGTTTAAGCTGCTCTGAAGGCAATCACCAAAAAGAAGGCTCCAGGAGGGGAGGGTTCAACCAGGGGGTGAAGCACTGGAAGGAATCCAGGTTTGTATCCCATTCCAAAGAAAGATGACCTCAAGTCGAAAGCAAATGGTTTGAGAATGATGATGGCAGCAAAGGTACAAATCTGCTTGACCCAACGGATGGATGGATGGCTTGTGAAAAGAGTTGTATGATCCCCCAGTAAAATAGTTAAAAAAAATAAAATTAAAAAAACATAAAAAATAAAACAAAGGAAGAAGATGACACAAGGGAATGTTCAAATTCTAGAACGATAATCATTGATATCACACGCAAGTAAAATGTTACTTCAGTCCATCTACCAGCAGCTGCAGCCGTACCGTGACCTTGATAGTCCCTTGACAGGAAGCTGCCGGAGGCTGAGGCTGGACTCCAAAGAGGACATGTGAGCTGGTTACGTTTATTGTGCCAACCTGGCCCATAAACCCATGTGCTGTTAATTGAAGGATGGAGAGATAAATGGCTCGGTGAACTTGCCTTTCTAGTTCTGGGGTCTCTTGCTCTCTGATGGTCGGACCAGGGTGCAGCTGCCTTAGCCAGTTCCC